TTCCCTTAAGAGTGCCCTCATGAGCCTGGTTGCTCTCCTCAGAGGAGGGGTGGGGTGGGAAGGGCAATGGAAGAGGGGGGAACACAGTTGGGAGCGGCCCTTCGTGAGGACGTCCCTGGCTCTGCGAGGGGCCTGGACGTGGTCCCTCCCTGGAAGCAGCCCTGCTCTTCTTGGGGTTTGGGGCACACAAACCGGCCTCACCCAAGCACAGAGGCACCACATGCCACCGAAGTGCACTCTGCGCTGGCGTGGAGCTTAAAGGGGCGGCGGCATAGGGCCATCACCTGCACCGACAATGGTCTCAGGTGTGTGAAACCTAGAGTCCAGGAAGGAGAGAGAGAGAGAGAGAGAGAGAGAAAAGAGAGAGAGAGAGAGAGAGAGAGAGAGAGAGAGAGAGAGAGAGGGAGCTCTAAACCCAGGGGGAGGCTCAGCTCAGCCCGCTTAGCACGTTGTCTGTGAATGGGAAACTACACCCTACCCCATGCCCCTCACCCTGTTCCTACAGCTGCAGGGAGCTGAGCGGTTGCTCCTCTCCCACTGAGGCCTCCTTCCCAGGACAGCCCTGCCCTCTCTCCCCACCCTCCCTCTCCTATCCTCTCTCCTGCCTACCCCCACCCCGTTCTCTGCAGTCCCTAGTCACAGAAGGACTGACATTAGCACCTCCAAACCCTGCCCAAAGCTGTCTCTTCATTTTGAGTTCTGTTTTTGTCATAGACAATTTAGAATACAAGACCACGAAGTAGAACCCTGACCCTGCAGGGCCCATCCCTCCAGATGGCCGAGTGAGTAATGGAGCGTGGATACCCACTTCACTGGGGCAGAAGGGAGGTCCAAATTCTTTGGAAATGAATTGTAGTTACATTCTGGGCTGCTTTTCCTGAAGTGGCTGAGAGAAGGACCCTGGGCCAGTCCTCCCACTGGTCTTCCTGGATTTTGGAGAGCAGAGGGGTGAACCATGTGACCGCACTGCCCACCGCAGGCCCAGGTGCAGTCTTCAGGGCGTGGCTTCTCCTTTCTCTTTCCCTCTGTCCCTTCCCCTCGCCAGGAGTCCAGGACGGTCTCCCCAGGCCTCTGGGGCAGCCCTGGCTAAAGCTTAGGGAAGCACGTCACTCACCCACGTAGAAGTACTCTGGGGACTTGTCCCCTGACGAGAAATCCTTCATGCTGCCTCCGAACCGAAACCATAGTCCAAAGGCGATGACGGCCGACCCCGCCAGCTGAAAAGCAAGCAGGAGAGCTTTATAAAGAAGGTGAGGGACGCGCGTGCACCCAGGAGCGAGCGGTGGCCAGGGTGCTGGGGGCTGGAAGGCCACATCCTTCCCGTTTCACAGAGGAGGTGACATGAAGTGCTTAGAGCCCCCGGGTCCCTGATGTGGCGCTGGAACTGGAGTTTCCCCCATTCTGCAGGCTGCCCTAGGGTCATGGGCATACCCAGCCCTGGGCAGCCTGGAGGTGGCTCAGCAAGAACTTTCCAGTACCGGCCCCCTGGAAGGCACCGGTGCCTGCCCCCCTGTCCCTTAAGGGCACTCTGGACCTCCTGACCAAGCCACACAGAGAGGGGGCAGTGTTTCAGACCTGGGTCACCAAGAGCAGGATGAACTCCAAGACCCGGGGGAAACACGCTTCTCTAATTTGGAAGCAAACACACCACCTCCGACCTGCCCACTCCCCATGGGCGCGCAGTGCCCAGTGAGAGAGCTGATTCAGAGGCATCTGAACCCCCCTCCCCTCCCCTGGGGCCTCCTCGGTCACGGTCACGGCCCTGCAGGCTGGGAGGGGCTTGACCGTTTTTTTTTTTTTTTGGTTGCTATTTTGAGTTTCCATGGAAAGTGAGAAAGGAAAAAATAATTTTCTGAAAAAGCCTGGTCTGTGTGCCGTGCGGTGCGGCTCATGGAGAGGCTGAGTGGCTGGCGCGGGCAGCGGCGGGCAGGCTGGCAGCTGGCAGGGTCATCGCCTGCTCCCTGTGGCCACTCTGAGGGCCTCGTGGGGCTCCCCACCGAAGCTGGGACGGTCCCCAATGCCCCGGCAGGCTCCAGCCCCGCGCCCCCTTGTCCACACACACCCATCTGGAATGTCATCGGATCAATCTACCCACAGACGTTCGCTGGGCACCTTCGGGACTCAAGGCACCCGGGGCAAGGGTGCTGAGATGTAAAAGTAGCCCTGGTTCTGCCAACCCCTCCAGTTAGCGTTGGGCTGCCCTGGCCTCTCACCTGGGAACAGGGTAGAGGCTGTTAGAGGCTGTCCCTCCCCCACAGGGAGACACAAGGACGTGGTCAGCGAGGTCGAGGTTTAATAAGGAAAAATAATATCAAAGTCAGGGGCCGGCAGGGCCTTTTGTCCACAGGATCCTTCTATCCGGGGGGCTATTTGTAAGACCGGCACCACCTTGGGGCCAGCTGGCTGGGCTTAATCTGAGGATCTTTCCTTCGCGCTCTGTCCCCTCTGGGCCAGCTCCCTCGGTGGCCGGGTCCTCAGAAGCGTGGCGTGACTTCAGCGAGGAGGAGTTAGAGGGCGGCTCGACCAGCTGGAGTCTCTAAGAGTTTCCAGCGCTGAGTTAAGCACTAATTGGATAATGTGAGGGCAGACCCAGGCACTGGGCTCCACCAGCTTGAAAGGATTTTATTTTTATTTAAAAAAAGGGTAACATCGCATGGAAAAATATTGGAAGAAATCAAGCTAAAACAGTAATAATCTCTATCTTTGAAGGGTTGGACTGCAGGTGACTTTTTCTTTTCGCTCTATTTTCTAAGTCTTCTGCAGTAAGCACCTAGTCCGCTTCTAAGTTTTAAAATGTTGTGGTTTTTAAACGTATAATGTGGTAGTTTGCTCAATCAAGACAAAGGGGGAGAGTTTCTCTTAGGTCGCGCTTTAGTTTGGGAGGAAACCAGCTTCAAGGTCATTGCTGTTTCAGGTGCGGGAGAGAGAGTGATGCCTTGGGAAAGCCTCGTCCTAGGAGCACCCGAGGCCGAGGGGTGGATGTGCCCAGCAGAGCCTTGGAGGCACCCCTGCCCGCCTCGCCTCCGTGGCGACTTGATGGAAAGAGTTTCCAAACACAAAGTGAAATCTATTGACAGAGGCGTCAGGCCAAGGCCTGCAGCCACCCAGCAGACTGTGGGGGAGGGGACTGGTCCCAGGGACACCCTACCCCGCGGCCACATTTTTGGCAACTCCATACACAGACTCTAATTTATGGCTGTCTGGATCATCCCCCCAGATGGAATACATTTGTCCACGACTGGCACAGATGTGTTTGATGCATAATGGAAAATGAAAAGAGAGGTTGCAATTTAAAGCCACGGGACAATGAGAAAATATCTGCACTTTGCTCATCCACGCCCCCCCAAACCCCAAACCACACGGGTTTCCTCCTGAGTCAAGGAAACTGTGGCTTAGCTGAATGTCATCACTGTGTGGAGGGAATCCTCCCGCCCGCCGCTGCTCGCCGGCAGGGACACTGGGGACGACCGGCCAGGCCCGAGGCTGCTCAGGACAGCGATCACTGCTCTGGAAAGTGGCATCGACAGAGACCATGTCGCCAAAAGGGTCCTTTTAAACTCCCCGTTCCTGTAAGGCTCTTGAATGACTGTGTTCGCTGGGCTTGGGTAGCTCTACTAGAAATTGCTTGAAAAAAAATCACACCAAGTCTAGCCCAGCCAGGAACACAGTGAGCGAGTCCACTGTCATGGAGTCCCATCGCTCTGTGGGTCCCCCATCCTGGAAGAGGTTCATTGAGTGATGTGCCAGAAGCCTGCAGCCCCCTGGAATCCTATGTTTTAACCTTCCTAGAACAAAGCCCCAGCCCCCACCCATACTTCCTTTCCTTTCAGTCTCCGCCACAACACTGCACCCCAGCCAATGTCAGAACAAATAAGGAACACGGGGCGACCTCCTCTAGTCCCTTTCCTTCTCTTGTCCCCAGCCACATCGCCTCTCACTTCCTCCTCGTCTTTTAGGGGATCAGCTATGGTCCTGGCCAGGGACGGTGCTAGGCATTAGGGAAGCAATGAAAAGGACAGGACTCACCCTAACAGGGAAGGTAACCGCAAAACTAACCAATGCAGTACACCAGGCAGTGAGCTCTCACTGTCCAGGGACAACCAGTGCTCCGCACAAGCCATTCCATTTTGATTTACATCTGGAAGAGTGACTTAGAAGTCCCTGAGCAGGGAAGGGCTGGAGGGAGGAGTGGACAGTGTGAGTAAGGACTTCGCTTCCTTACCTGGAACACTGTGTTGGGGAGGGAGGAGTCTGAGGGAGGTTAGAGCCTGGGACTTCAGAGGCGAGTTGGGGCCACCGTGGCTCATGGCTTCTACTTAGCTTGCTACCAGCTTGGAGAGCCCATGGCTGAGCCTGGAGGGGAGATGGGAGCCACTCCCTTTGTGGGAACCATTAGGAGGGTCGCCTGATGCCAGACACAGTGAGGAGCCGAAGGGAAAGCTCTGGCAGGCTGACAGGACCTCCCTCACAGCCCTTCCAGGGAATACCTGGCCAAGTACTGTTTTCAAATTCATTTGCACCAACACTGTGCAGACACCTCGGAAGGCAGTGTGAACACACTGGAATATACACAGCAAACACTTCCCCACAGAAAAACAAGACAAAACTAGAGCACGTGTGTCAGTTCTATGTTTCCTAAACCTGCGGGGATGTGTGCTTCGCATCATACATGGACACAAAGAGTAACTTTATACATGCCTTTTACAGGCAGGAGCATATGAGCATTTAACACCATTATAGCAACACGCACACTCCACTCAGATGTAAGAATGGACAAAGGCCATACTGGATTCTGGCTTCTGCAGGGTGAACGCCATGTATATACAGGACCCAACTCATTTGCATTTCTCTTCTTTGGGATGAAGTCACACAGAGTTGGAAATGACACTTCAACCCCACAGCTGCCATTAAAGGCTTTTAACCTGATATGTGCTCTTGGCAATTCTCACCCCGGATGGAGTCACGTGACGAGCACTCACGCTTCCTGACATGACTGCACACCAGCCTGACACACAGGGCAGTGGTCTCGCCCTTCAGCAGGCGGACGGCAGAGGCGCATGTGGTCTGGAAGACGATGCTAATTTCCTCCAAGAGGAAAGCCAGCTCCCAACGCTTTCATCCCAGTGAAAGCCAAGGCAAGGATTCAGACGGCACGTTCTCAGAATTGAGGGTTTTGTCAAGAAACACAGGAGCCCAATGCCACAGGACATCCGTGCACAAGCACCCCGAGGACCCTGGCTGCCCTTGTCTCAACGTCAGGACCAGGTGAGGTGGAACTGGGGGCCGGACCCTGGCAGGGGTGAGGAGATGGCTAATCGTAAGATACCCGTGGTTCTGATTTCCCCTAGGACTTTCCTCCTCATAATTTCCTAGGAACAGCGCATGCTAAGGAATTCCTGAAAGACCTCCTTCAGGTAAGGCTCTGTTTTTAAATCAATCCGTGCTTAATTCTGTGCACTGATGGAAGGGTTCCGCACTCCAAACCACGACCACACCGAGAGTTTTATGCATCTTGGAGAGAACTTCGGGTTATGTATTTGTGCTAAACATACCTTCTTCTGTTTCGGTTGTTATGAAGTAACCTGCGTGGATCAAGTGGCATTGCCAGGAGACAGTAGAGAGGTGCTGGGGGGATACCACGCTCAGGGGAGGAAACTAACCTGATGAAAAGCTTGCTGTGAATGATGAGGCTGATAAATATAAATAGTGGAAAGTGTGTTGTATTTATTCCATGGTTACACATACTAGTAATGCGCTTTCTCTAGAGAAATATAGGGAGAGGAGGAGGGGAAGGAGGGGCCAGTAAGAATTGGGAGAAAGATGATAGCTGCATAGTTTCCTTTAAACAGCAAAATAAATGTCACAGACCATGGGCTAGTGGTTCCAGGGAGCAGATGGCTTTATCAAGTGAACATCAAATACACAGGGAACTAAAACCTAACCCGCCAGGTCACCCAAGTGGCTTACACGTGACATCTGCCTTCCCTCACCCAGGAGATGAGCTCCCGGAGGACAACAATGGTTTTCTGTGTTCTCTGGACTTCTTCCTTGCAGCATCCAGCTGGCTCTTGTCCCAGGCTCAGCCACTGAGTAAACAGTTACCTGAGGGCTACACTGACTACTGCGACATCTCATCTCTATGGAGCTTTATGTCAACAAAGACAGGACATTAAACAATATTTACTTAATAGCCTAATATCTTTCAAGATAGCTCGAGAGCCCTGGCCAGGTGGCTCAGTTGTTTGGAGTGTCATATTGTACACCAAGAGGTTGCTGGTTTGATTCCCAGTAAGGGCACATACCTAGGTTGTGGGTTCGATCCCCAGTTGGGGAGCGTAAGGGAGGCAGCTGATTGATGTTTCTCTTTGACACAGATGTTTCTCTCTCTCTCTCTCTCTCTCTCTCTCTCTCTCTCTCTCAGCAGTAAAACATATCCTTGGGTAAGGATTAAAGAAAAAGTCTGCAAGAACTACTCTTTGAGCAGATAAACAGGATTCTTAAATATCAGTCAATGACAAAGATCATCACCCAATTTTAGTTGTTACAGAGAGGCAATGGGAGAATCAAATGTTTCAGCAGAACTCAGGTTAGACTCGGACAAGCCACAGCACTTTATTTATTAAAATGTTAGCTTGGATGGAATCCAGTAGAAATCATGAAAGGCTAGTTTGGTGTTCCAAAGAGATTGTTCTTAACAGCAATTTTACCAGAAACCACTGCGGGCATGAAGGCAGGGAGGGCCGGGCATTTACAGGGGACTGGACAGATTGGAGGGTGCACAGGGAGAGCAAGGGGCTTCCTGGGTGAGTGGCAGCAGCTTCCAAAGCCCCTGCCCCTGCCCACAGCGGGACTTGGCCAGCCCTGCCTGACTCTCCAGCTTATCAGCTGACTCCTTCCCAATCACCACTATGATGGGGAGGGGAGGGCTTGGCACACTCTTTGGAACATTTGCCAACTGCTCTTCTAGAAATTTTACCTCTTCTGAGTGTTCACACTGAATAGCGACGCCCTTACACAGGATCTTAACAAAAACACGCGCATGCACCAAGCTGTGGTGTTGAGCAGCTGGAGGGATGACCACAGGGGCTCCACGGCCTCCTGCTCTATGGTTCCAATCGGGCTCTGCCATGTACTAGTCTGTGATCTTGGGCAAGTCACTTAACCTCTCTCACCCTCAGCTTCCTCGACTGCAAAGTGAAGGTAGTAATAGTGCCTCCCCACGAGATTAAACGAGTTCACATTACAGACGTAGAGCGGCGAGCGCCCAGCGCTTAGTGTTATTATGCTGGCAGGCTTGCTAATGTTACATTCAAACCGAAACGGAACCTGACTCAAGAGACGAAACACCACTCCCAAGGCACCAACAGCCTGGCCCTCCGCTGCTTCCTCTACTAATTCTGAGGTTCGCTCCACACTCTTCCCATGACACACGGAAATCCCTGAGTGTCCTAAACCTCCTCGCTGTGCCAGTGCCCCCTCCAGGCACGGTTTCCTCTCTCTCTCTCTTTGGTTTTAGTGTTTACAAGACCCAAATAAAAGAAAAACAGGGAAAATAAGTTATGAGAGAAAGAATAACTATATGTAGGCAAGAGCTATCCGATAGAACTTTCTCCAGTGATACGGATGCATGTGTTCTCTCTCTGTGCTGCCCAGTACTGCAGCCACTAGCCATCTTGGTTACTGAGCATTGAAATGTGGCTAGTGCGGCTTAGGAGCTGAATATTAGATTTCTTTGAATACTAATTGAATTTGCCAGCCTCGTGTGAGTAGGATCGTAGTCACCATGTTGGACAGTGCAGGTCTAGATGCACGTGCTCATCACAGCTTCGAGCTTCTCTCCCCTTAGTCTGCAGCCTTGGAGTGGTTACCACCACTGAGTCTGGCCACACACACAAGCCCAGCTCCGTCCTGGCTGGTTCCGAGTCCCTGAGCAAGCCCCCCTGTTTTGTCACATGTAAACTGGGGGTGACAGCTGAGGGTCACTGTGAGGATTAAATATCCAAAATGTAAAGCCACCAGCCCACTCTCTTCCCACCTTGACAAAAACCAGAAATAAAGACTATCCCGCAACAAGGCCCAGGAAATTCCTATCTGCCTCCTGGGATGGCCTAGCTTTTAGGTGGACCCCAAAGAATACTTTCTTCAGGTATTTTTTTTTTTAAAGCAGTCTTTCTCAACAGGCCGGAGCTCTGAAGTTATAGTTTGAAAGAAGTTTGGGGAAGAGGAGGAGGCAACCCCTGTAAGCTGCCGTCTATTCAAACATTTTCCACTCCCGAGGCCACGTGACACCGTCTCTCCTAACAGCACCTGTCAGGCATCACCCAGCGAAACCCCAAAGCTGCATCAATCATGGTAAGAAGGAAAGAAAGCGACTTCACCCAAGCCTTATATGGCATCTGCCTTTCAACAATGAACAGTCCCGCTTCCTGTTGGTGGGTAACCCTGAGCAGCTCGAAAGCACAATGATAGGAAGACGCTAAGCGTACAACAACAAACGAAGGAATAAACATGCCCAGGTTTCTCTCTAAACCACCGTGTGTGGCTGGCTGGGCTGCGGTGTGTTACTTACATTGCTATGCAACGGGGGAAAAAATAAAGGCGATTTCAGGGAAGGGCATGGAACTATGCTATGCAATTTGATTACAGCGTCCAAATTTAGACCCGACAGGTATTGCGAAGGGTTTCTTTAATGTTAGACACCAACCATGATAACAGAAATTAATTTAGTGGGGTTCATGGCTAGGCTTTATTTATTTATTTATTTTTAAATCCAATGGTGATTACAGCCAGTGGCCCTGGGCCAGGAGTGCTGGGCCAGCCCTGGCCGGGTCTAGTTGAATGCTTATAAAATCAGGAGCGCTGTCTAAGGAAACTTCAACCAACCTGCCTGAGGAGGGTGCAAATGATTGGTTAAATTTCAGATCCGCAAAGCAGACCCCGCCGGGGCCTCGGTGCCGCCTCCCGGTGAGCTCCTGGCAGGAAAGGAGTGCTGTCACCGGGGACCTTATGCCTCAGAAGGGCAGGCACACAGCATCCAAGGGTGTGTGCACACATGACCCTGAGTCCCAGCTGAAGCCTCTCCTTCCAGGAAAGCTGTCCCCCGCCCCCCGCCCCTTCCCCAAACCTCCCACAAACCCCTCTAACCAGGAAAAAACAACTTCAGAAACTGGGGTGGGGCTTCTCTGGAATCAGGTTCCCTCAGTGACCGTGGAGGGAGAGATCTAGATAGTTTATCCCTTTTCCTAAATCATTAGGTACCTGTTCCAGTTCGCCCCTTTGCCTCTGGTTGTGCGAGTACAGATGTGGGAGGCTGCCTGTGGCAGCTGCTGTTCCAGGACCCTCAGTCCCCTACCCCCCCATGGAATTAGGAGACAGGAAGGCCCCATTTTCCCCTCCTGGGCTCAATCTGTGCAAGCATAGAACAAACCAATCGGTAATAAGCAGTAAGACAGGGCCTCAGTCCTCTGGATAAAGTCGAGAATCCATTATCCATGCAAATTGGGAAGTCCACTTGTACCGAGCTCTCTAACCTGCAACTCATTTATGCATGCTGCAGACATTTACCAAGTGCCTCCTGTGTGCGGGGGACTTTTCTAGACATGGAGATACAGCCGTGAACAGAACAGAAAAAAAAAAAATCTCCGCTCTCAGCGTGCTCTCAGTTCCAGTGGGGAAAGTCCACGAGTACAGACTGAAGATGTGTGGTTATCCTAAAGCGAAGACGAGCTGCAAGTCACTTGGCAAGCACACACTCTTCCCCCACACGGAGGAGGGAGGGAAAGAGAGCCAACTTCTACTGCCGCTTCTGTGTGCCAGGCACTCGGTAATCACAGTTTTGAGCACTTACTTTGTGCCAGGCTCTGAGGAAGGTGAGCTCAGATACGGTCCCCATTCCCTTTCAGTCCTCTCAGCAGCCCCGTTCCCCTAACGGAGCAGATGAGGAGACAGGGCTGGAAGTCAGAAGGCACACTGCTCAAGCGCACCCTGCCTGGGGTCTCGGCACTCGAGCCTGATCCCTTCGCCAGATGGTGGTCAACCCTCCCTCACTCTGTTCCTCAGCTGGAGGCGGTGTCACCCCCTCCTCCTTGCCCACCTCCATGCCTCCAGCCCTTTGGTTCAGCTTAGACATCCCCCTTCTTCGGGAGAACTGTGCTGACTCCTCACTATTGCTGTGGACCTTGTGCTGATCTCCTTCATTAGATCACAGGCATGAAAGCTGGTATCTGACCCCACCAGGCCCTCAGACATCGCTGTCTTCCTACTTCCCCTCCTTATGGCCTTCCTGGTCAGAAGTGTGACATTACTCACTTGACTTTATCCTGTCCGTTTTGTTCGTTGTTGTCCTATAGGCATCGGTCTCCCGTCCTCAACTAGATTAGCAGCTTAGAGAACAGTGTTTCATATTTATAAATTATATATATTTACTAGAGGCCTGATGCACGAAATTCATGCAAGAGTAGGCCTTCCTTTCCCTGGCTGCCAGCACCTGGGACCTGGGCTTCCCTCGCAGCCTCGGCTTCATCTGGAAGGTTGTCTGGAAGGACGTCCAGAAGGACATCCGGTCTAATTAGCATATTACGCTTTTATTATTACAGATAAGTTACATATCTATGTATACATGTATAAATTATCTTTATAAGGCTTGTTTAAGGATTATTTAACAGAGTGGCTCTCAAACTTGAGCACGAATCCGAATGATCTGGAGGTCTTGTTAAAAGAGCTCACGGATCCCTCCCCGCGAGTTTCTGCTTCAGCAGCCGGGACTGGGTTGAGAATGTGTATTTCCGACAAGTTCCCAGGAGATGCTGCTGCTGCAGGAACCACTGGGAGAACCGCAGGTTAGGAGTGTAATGTACCACAGGGCTGAGCAGCAAGTAGGCTGAGTTTGAGTCACCACTCACTGGCTGTGTGACCTCGGGCAAGCCAACCTATTTGAACCTGTTTCCTCATCTGTAAAACTGGGGACAACAACAGTAAGCACATGAGGACTGTTGTGAGGATTAAAGGTAATAATGACGCCACGTGCATAGTACTGCCCCGACACACTAAAAAAAAAATCAAGAACGCTTCCTCTCATCCCTGGGAAGGCTGGCTCAACGTCGAGCACTAAACAGGCACCGAACTCAGCTGAAGCATTCTTTCTCAGGCTCACATACAGCTCCTTTCCGATTTGTAAGCAGTGAGAGCGAAGGATGTTATTGAAGCACGACATTGATCATGAACAGCTTTGGAAATTAAGCCAGACTATTCAAAAGCACAGCAAAAGGGCCTGTAGAAATACTACCCCTCCCCTGTAGTACGCTGGGTGCAGACGCCCAGGTGTACAAAAGCCATGTGTCTTTTAAAGCTCAGGGGCTGTCTTCGGGCTACCTCCTTCACACCTTCCCTGGTGAAGGGTGCTGAGGATGGCTACATGGCCTCCGAGAGCTGGAGTAGCTGGAGTCACCCAGGCTTCTGGGCTAATGGGTTGGCAGACACGAGCAGAGCCCATCATTCAATAATTGATTAGCTGCAGGCACGGGAAGACAACCTCCCCAGAGCAGTTAGAACCTCCCCCACCTCCCCCACCTCTCCCATCCCCGTTGTTTCAAAGCACCCAGGCCCTGCTGCTCCCTCCTGCCCCTAAGAACTTCTTCACCCAAAGCACGATCTGTGTTTTCGGTCTGGGTCTATCCGAGCAGTTATCCTGGCCGACCTTCTCTCCAGGAAGCCCAAGAGGGAATGTGCGGAGCAGACAATGTTCAGACCTTGTCCCACAGTCCCTTAGGGCCTGAGATAGGGTGGCCAGGGATCTAGGGATGGCCTAGCCATAGTCTTGCTCCAATAATATAGGCGACAGGGGTCATGGCCCTTCTCTCTGTGGACCACGAATCCCGGGCATGTAGCTCATTCAATGCAAAGTTGAATGAGATCATCCCTGGGAGCATTAGTATGTAGCAGAGGCTGCGGGTTGGGGGTTGGGGGCGATGCTGCGGCCCCTCCCTTCCGCTGCTCCCCTGCACAGAGAGCATCACCACCTCCTCTCATCCAGCCGGACCCCTCCCTAATGCTCAGGGAAAGGACCACCCTCTCCCCCTTCCCCAAACCCTTTTCTCTCCTACCCCCAATTTCCTGCCAAAACCATCACGCCAGGTGGTGAGACCACACACTCAGATGGGGTAGCTCCCCATTTAAGCCCCCCCCCCCCCCCCGCGCTCCTAACGCCCCGGCCGGGCCCAGGCTCCAGGGGGAAGGAGCGCGACCAGGGGGGCGTGCGCACGGCGGGAGGGAGCCCCCAGGAGGTGAGGAGAGCGAGGTCCCCGCACCTGGAGTCCTCAGCTGCGAGAGGGACACCCCGGCGGAGAGGTTCCTCAAAGGGAAGAGCCGACGGTGTCTCCCCTTCTCACCATTTCTCGTTGTCCAATCCCTATCTTTCCGTTCTGTCCTTCTCCATCCCGCCCCTCCCTCGCCGCCTGCCTTTTTCTCATATTTGCCGTGCGGAACAACCCGCTTTCCCCTGGAGCCCGGCTCGGACGCCCGCAGCGATCCATCCTCCAGGGACCCCGGCCCCGCGCCCCTGCCCGGCCCGCCCCTGCCCGGCCCCTCGGCTCAGGGCCTCACCCAGAAGAGCAGGTTGAAGCCGAGCAGCAGGTACTTGATGCAGCGCAGGCCCCCGCGGAAGCGCCCCATGCTGCGGCCGGGCGGCGGGATCCCAAGTCCCCAGGCCGGCGATGGAGCGCCCGGAGCAGCGGGAGCCGGCGGGAGGAGGCGGGGCCACAGGGGCTGGAGGCGGGGCCCGCGGGGCGGGGGCGGGGCCTTGGGCGGAGGGGCGGGTCTGCAGGGGGCGGGACTGCAGGGGGCGGACCTGCAGGGGGCGGGGCGGGAGCCCGGCAGGGGGCGCGAGAGGGCCCGGGAGGACCCCAGCTGTGAGGCTGGCGAGGGGTGGGGGCACCGTGCGGCCAGTAAGGGCACCTCCCCGCTCTCCCCGGAACGAGGGACCGCCTCCTACCCTCCCGGTGCCGAGCGACGTGCCCCGCGGGCGCCCTGCCATGTGGTTATCTGAGCATCTGCCAGGAAGGAGCGACCACTGGGGACCCGAGACCCACTTCCTCAGCGCCCTGCGCAGAGACTCATTTGAGGCTGCGGTGATGGTTGAGGATCAGGACGCGTCCCGGTGGCTATGGAAACCTAGGGGGGTGGGGTGGCCTAGGGTAGAGAGATCAGTGGGACCCGAGGCCGCCCAGACGCTGGCAGGACCTGTCCCGGGCACCCCGGCTGCAGGCTGCGGTTCTCCGGGGCCAGACGCGCACACTGGCCGCGGAGGCCGTTTCCTGGGGACTCTCCCACGGCCCCTCCCGCGTCCCCGAGGACTCTTACCTTAATAGGCAAGAAGCCGGGGTAGGCGCGGGATGCGGCTGTCCCGCCCGGGTGGCTGCTCCCCTCCCTGCTCAGCCTGGCCTGCGGAGGGGGCGTCAGACTCCCCGGGTCCGGCCGGATTCAACCAATGGGAGGGCTTGGAAACGGGCCCAAACCCTCGGGGATTAACTGTGATGTGGAGATGGAGTTAAGGGGGGAGGGTTTGTTTTGCTTTGTTTTATTAAGTTAGGCTGCTGGTGGGGAAATGAGGCTCCCA